AGATAAAGTAGCTGCATTGTTCGTTGCATTAAAAGGATCTGCATCGGAGATATTATAAACCATTCCAAACTGCGAGTCGAATAGTAATGAAACGTTTATGGGTGTATTAGAAAGACAGTAGGATAGTGAACACAGGAAGCAGATCTTCCAAATCGAGTTGCGAAATCGCCGCTAGAAAGCCAATGAGTCTCTGCAGGAGTTTTCTACAGAGATTGAGAGCTCACTTATGCACATAAATCCGTAGAATACAAGAGGACACGAAAATTCAGAAATTCGTCAATTGAATACGAGATAACACTTGACGCTTCGCTTCGTTAGCATTTTCAAAATTGACGTTTGCGGAAACCATTTCGTATGCTCTGACACAGGAAACTGCATTTTTGCTTAGCATTCGAACATTCAAAACTTATCAAGTAGAAATAGAAGATTGCAGCTGGGTAAACCAATTACTTGAAAAAGTTGAAGAAAAGATGCTAAAAGTACTGGAAAAATCTACAGAAACTCGTAAGAAAAATGATAGTGTGGTTAAATGCTTCAACTGCGGTCATATTGCACGCAACTGTAACCAGTTGAACGTAAACGCAAAGCTTAAAAAGATCAAGCAAATGTCAAATCCAACCAATCCCTCCCCCAAGGCTCCCCCAAGCAAATGCCCTGTAATCTCTATTTCACAAATAAGCATGAATACGAGTAACGTTACCATTAGTGGATGTGTAGACGACAAAAAGCGTATACTGACTGTGGATACGGGCGCGTCACTTTCCATAATTCGATGTGATCTGGTTAATAAAGAAGTAAGACCATTAGCTGGGGCAAAGTTGCGTACTGCAACTAGAGAAAATACTCATGTTCTCGGAGAAATAACGTGCGAAATCGTGATTGGAAAAGCAATCGTGCACAATTTTATAGTGGCAAATATCGTCGACGAAGTCATAATTGGAGTAGACTTTCTGGCAAATCAAAGAATAAAAATATGGAGGTACCACTTATGTTCGGTTATGATAACAAGTACAAGATTATACGAGTGATAATAACAGAAAGCCAGCAGATTCCACCAAAATCAGAAGTAGTTATTTGGGCAGAAATAGATGGAGATTATGGGACTAACAAGTTGTGGGTTGTTGAAGCCACAGAACAATCTACACCAAACTTATTTATAGGCAAAACCCTGGCTATGACTAGACAAGATAACAAGATAAACGTGTTCCAGTAAGAGTACTTAATGAGTGCAAGTTACCAATACAACTTTCCAAGTGAGGTATATTAGGGCAGTATCAGGAGATTGAGGCCGTCAAAAATTATAAAAGACGTCTTTAGGAAGATTCCATGGACAATGAAATATCGATTGAAATTAACGCATGAACCGAGGACTTAAAGGCAAACCATCGAAATAAGGCTAAGCAACTTATTCTAAGATAGTCAACCATATTTGATAAAGACGATTCCAAAGCAGGAAGAACCATAGTTGTGAAACATTTTATTAACACAGGTGATGCAAGACCAATCCGCCAGGCTCTTCGAAGCAAAATGTGAAGTTATAAGCCATACTATACGTGAAATGAGCAAAAAGCGGCGTAATCGAACCATCAGTGAGTCCATGGAGTTCACCTGTAGTACTGGTGAAGAAGAGAGATGGCAAAATGAGATTCTGTGTAGATTATAAAAAATGGAGGAGGGAATGTTAAGGAAGTCAACAGCATCCTAAAAGACGAGATGAGGGATATACATGCTATTTTGAGACAGCGCACCAAAATATTGAGCGACAGATTGAAAGCAAAATACGACAAGGCAATGAACTCTGAGGGTTTTATTGAAGGCGATTGGGTATTGTTATATAACCCACAACGAAAGAAAGGGCTATCTCCAAAATTACAGTGTAATTGGGAGGACCATACCAGATTATTAAACGACTCAACTATGTAGTGTATCGCATACAGACCTTTGGAAGACCAGGGAATAAAATGAATGTAGTTGATCTGGAATGGCTTGCATCGTTTGGTACTGCAAATATGTCTAATCGGAACGATCCGACTTAGGGGGAGGGCAGTGTGGCGACCACGAATGCCAGTACAAAACAGTTAAAATATACATCCATCTACTAGCGGCCCTGGTACATGCTTCGCTACGTATAAAGTGAAATAATAAAAAAATATAATCGGAATATCAAATTCATTTATTCAAACAAAAAATATTTTATTTATTAGTAGCTATTTTAAAATTTAATTTAAAACATTTGGATAAACAATTTTTTTTGGTGGTACCGACTCTGGAGCAGGCAACATTAAGTTGGCCATGTGAAAAACACGATACCTCCAAATTCGAACGTGAACCGTTTGCCCTTGGGCCTTTTTGGTGAACATCGCAAATGATAAACGCACAGGATATTGTAATCGTTTGAACTCAAATGGTATATCAGTTGGAATCATAGGGATACGCGGAGTCAAACAAACTTCGCATTTTGATTTAGCAGTTAAGTTCGTAGCTTCAATCAAATTTGGCAATAACTTTTTCACTGCCAATATGGTGCCATTACACAGTTTTTGTGGATTAATATTTCGCAATAATATAATCAAAGAACTTACTTTCAGATTCAAGCAATGCGGTGGCATATCAGCCGGTTCCGATGAATTCCAAAATTCAATTGGATAATTCATTGCCTCATCTTGATTCATAACACTGTCAATATATTTACATTAAAATTTATATTAGTAAAAGGTTCGTTCGGTTTTTCATTGATTTTTCAAAAGATTATAACTTTGTGTACATATGTCCGATTTAAGTCAAATATGCGCGGTTTTGTTCGTAAACTTGTTGCCAACGAGATGCCAACTTCTATATTTTACCCCTCTCGTAGAAGGCTGCGTCCCTATTGGCAAAAAACTCGGAGAGCCAATTTTCACAGGTCATCTCTTGAGGCCAGTTTCTCACCATTAAGCGCGTTCGCCATGGACAAGAAAAGATGGTAATCACTTGGTGCCAGGTCCGGTCTATAAGGTGGGTGCGTTAGAACCTCCCATCCGAGCTCCCGGAGCTTCTTGCGCGTCACCAAAGACGTGTGTGGCCTGGCGTTGTCCTGATGGAACACAAGTTGCCCTCTGTTGATCAAAGATGGCCTCTTCTGGATGAGTGCTGGCTTCAAGCGGTCCAGTTGTTGGCAGTAGAGGGCCGAATTGAGCGTTTGGCCATAGGGGAGCAGCTAGTAGTAGATGATTCCTAGCCTATCCCACCAAACACACAGCAAAACCTTCTTGGCCGTCAATCCGGTCTTGGCCATCGTTTGCGCCGCTTCCCCGAGCTTTGACCACGACCGTTTGCGCTCGATGTTGTCATAAGTGACCCATTTTTCATCGCCAGTCACAATCCGCTTCAGAAACGGGTCGATTTTGCTGCGATTCAGCAGCGATTCGCAGATGGAAATTCGGTCCATCATGTTTTTTTTCCGTTACTTCGTGTGGCACCCAAACCTCGAGCTTCATTTAGTTCCTCAGCAATTAAATAAGTGCTCACGTGATGGTCTGTTTCCACTATTTCCATGATTTTATCGCAATTTTCGACGACAGGCCTCCCGACGCGTGGTGCATCTTTGACATCGAAATTACCAAAACGGAACCTAGCAAACTACTTTTGTGCTACAAGTTCGTTTACAGTATCGGGCCTATAAACTAAATTAATTTTTTCAGCCGCTTTGGCTGCTTTTTCGCCTTGATCGAAGAAAAATTGTAAAATATAGCGATAGATAGTCAAAAACAAACTTTTAGCGCGAATAAACACGTTTTCAGCGCCGTATAGTATGACACGATGCGACACGTAACACTAGTACTATGGACAATAACACCATCTCTTAGATAAAAATTGAACGAACTTTTTACTTGACCTAATATGTCGTGGCTACATCTGTCTGTTTCACTTTAATTTTAAAATTAATGGCATTGATATGAATGTTCTTTGGTGCTAAAATGGCGTGATCTCTCCACCAATCATGATTTCTGTAAGTCTGTAGAATATTTGGAAAAAAATTTTCAATCAATTCATCTATCGATTGCACCACGTAAATCTTGCATTGTTCGATTGCTTCTAGTGATTTTTTATTCACCATTGTACACTAATCCCATAAAATAACTGATGTTAATCGAAAAACTTCTGCCATAGCAGAATTTCTCGAAATATTGCAATTTGGAGTTTCAATCGCCTGTACATTCAATGGCAATTTTAATGCGGAGTGTGCGGTCCGACTACCTTCTAATAATGTAGCAGCAATTCGCGAAGATGCAAATGCCAATGAAATTTTCTGTTCCGATCGATTCGATGGCATTCATGTTGATAATATAATATAATTGCAAATAGCATTCGTATTTGTTGTGGATGAGCTGAAGTAGATGTATCATAAAGTGTTGAATCCTAATGAGCATCATCCTCCAACAAATGCAAGAGTTGACATGCTTCATGATATGTTTGACACAAATAACCGTTGTTTGTCCTCAATTCTTGAAATGATTTTGGGCCATTGACGTTAACTAATAACAATCGCAAATAAAAACACTCAGCATTCTTTGGATGTACTATTATAATATATTATCTCAATTGTATCTGTTGGGAAAATACCTGGATGCCCATCGGCTGCTGTTCCTTGTTTACGTCTTTGAATTTTTTTCGAAAACACATTCGATGTGTAATACTGAGGCACTTCAGAATATAACAAATTTATTGCAAATGTATCAGTTTCGCATAACTTGAAAAAAGCGGTCAACGTAGTCACTGGTCCTTGTGCTGCTCTTTCCAATACATTTGCTTCATTAAAATAAACACGTTGGCCTCCAGATAGCTTCATTACTACAAATATATCGCCCCATTTGATACTGAGTAATTGCATCATTTCTATTATCACCAGCAACACCAAAAACAGCCATATCGCTCATTTTATTTACATACTTGCAAATATGTAATGAATTTAACTGAATTACACTCCACATTTATATGAGCATTAAATATTTTCGATAATAATGGGCAATACGGAACCACCCAACGATTATCAACTTCAACGTCCTGGTTACGCATTCTAATGGTTGCCGTTTTGCCATTATCATTAGGTGATCTACGTCGATATACTATATTGGGGGCAGAGAAAGAGACGGGTGATTGTATTAATTTGGACAATGCTCAGGTATGTATACTTGAGAACATACATATTTTCAAGCAATTTTATAAATATGTAACTCACAGGCTGAAGGACATATTCGTCATAAGGCTTCTTAGAAAAACGAAATACATTATATGTAGTATATTGGAGTGAGGGTAAGGGGCCACCCATAAATTACGTCACATTTCTTAAAAAATATTTAAAACAACTAAGGAAGGGCTGAGTTCGGATGTAACCGAACATTTTATACTCTCGCAAAGTCAAATGGTATACTCGTTTGAGATTTCTTTGTGGATTGACTGATATTTTCGGTAGAAGGTTAACTATAGGCACTGGGGTCCACATATTTAGTGCTTAGGGGCTTGAACAGTTTTGGTTCGATTTAGACAATTTTTGGTCACAAGGTGGCATACTTTAAACGTATTATTTACGCAAAGTTTTACCCCGATATAATCATTGTTGCTTGATATGCATAGTGGAAAGTGAAAGAATGAGATGGAATTGAAAATGGTGTTACATGGGAAAAAGGCGTGGTTGTAGTCCTATTTCGCCCATCTTCGCACTATGACATAGAAATATGAAAAGAACGTTATGCACCGAATTTGGTTGAAATCGATTAAGCAAATCGATTAAGCAGATCCCAAGACATGGGTTTTCACCTAAAAGTGGGTGGTGCCACGCCCACTGTCTAAATTTGAACGCGGTTCCCATAAAGTCATCTCATACCATCCCAGAGATAAAATTTAATGTCTCTGGCGTGTTTAGTTATACGGGGAGTGGGCGGAGTTGCCACCCGATTTCACCCATTTGCACACTGTAGGTAGAGGTTCTAAAAGCATTTGCTTCCAGTGAATTTTGTTATTATAGCAATAGCGGTTTAGGAGATATGCACATTAAACCTATTAGAGGCGGGACCACGCCCACTTTAAACAAAAATTTTAACTGCAGATGCTTCTCCCTATTGTGATCCTCTACCAAATAAGAGTCTTGTATCTTGTTGTGGAGCTTAGTTATGGCAATTCATTTGTTTTTGAATAATGGCGTTTTGTGGGCAGTGGTCCGAGTACGCTCATCTGCAATACCAACCGTCTCACGGTACCAAGAAACATGTCTACCAAGTTTCATAAAGATATCTCAATTTTTACTCAAGTTAGAGCTTGCACGGACGGACGGACAGACAGTCACCCGGATTTCAACTCGTCTCTTCATCCTGATCATTTGTATATATATAACCCTATATCTAACTCGATTAGTTTTAGGTGATACAAGCAACCGTTAGGTGAACAAAACTATTATACTCTGTAGCAACAGGTTGCGAGAGTATAAAAACAGTTATTTCCATTTATTCTTATATTATATTTATTGAATAACCTTTAATAAAATCAACATTTAGTTAAATATTTAAAGTATAGAGACAACAAATGACTAGTTAGAAAATAAAAGACACTTAATTATACTAATAAAAAATATAAAACACTCCTTTATATTATTTATTACTGGTAAATCAGACACTTAATTTTCTTTTCGAATGTGGATATTGACAAAAAATGTATATAGTTAATAGATCGATTCACAGAGTCCGCTACTATCATAATATTACAAAATTAAATAATTCTAATTCAAATTCAGAAGAATATACGAAGTAATATCAATATTAAAAATATGTTGGAAGGAAAAAATTCCCACCAGGATGAAATTCTGTATCTGCCACTGGTTTTTCCTAATAACGGAGATTTCCCATGAAACAATGAATGTACATATTTACATACATATGTTGCATGTAGACAACAACAATTATAATGGGTACTTGCATATTTGTTTGCACGCACACATAATTATTCATATTTATATATATGTATAAGAATATTTGCGACCGCTCGGTCTCGCACAGGAAGATAGAAAAATGAGCAAGCACTTACCAACAACTTAAACCTACTTAAATCTTTTCTATTGAGAATTCTGGTAAAATTTAGTGCTTCACTTGCATTACAACACCGTTTTAAAAGTTGAATGTACCATGAGACATAATTTCATGGCGACTGTACTTAAGTATTAAAAAATAAAGATCGCGTTTGTAAATGTTTAATATTTTTTGTTTACCTATAAATTTCGCATTTAGACATCACAAATTTTGAAATGTAATGTCACAAAGCTTTTAACCCCCTACCCCTTGTCACACAATGTCATATTCGAATGTTCGTATATTATATATAGGATAAGGCCAACCGGTAGTTTGAAAATTGCATATTAGGTATATAGGGTCTAAGGAATGTATTGACCCGATTTAATCTTTTTTTGTTAATACCACATACTATTAACATGCCACATATTGTACTAATAATATGCTCCCTGAGTTTAATTAAGGTACCTCACATAACATCACCAATCATATGGGGTAAAGTCAGCTGGATGTTCGAAAATCGTAACGGCCTTTGACAGCACGAAAAGGAACTGCCCTTATGTCGCTATGTCTAAACTTAGCATCCCCGCAAAACTAATACGGTAAACTGACGTTGAGCAGGAGCTTCATCAGGATCGGGAAGTACCTCCTCGAACCGTTTGATACCAAGCGAGGTTTCAGAGAAGGATACTCCCTATCATGTGACTTATTCAATCTATTGCTGGAGAAAATAATACGAGCTGCAGAGTTAAATAGAGAAGGTGCAATTTTCTATAAGAGAGAACAGCGCCGTTAGTTCTGCTTTTTCCAGACTGGATAAGGAAGAGAAACGTATGGGTCTGATTGTGAACGAGGACAAGATGAAATATCTCCTGTCATCAAACAAACAGTCACTGTTGACAGTCAAAACTTTGAAATCGTAGATAATTTCGTCTATCTTAGAACCAGTATTAACACTAACAACAATATCAGCCTTGAAATCCAATGCAGAGTCACGCTTGCCAATAGGTGCTACTTTGGACTGAGTAAGCTATTGAAAAGTAAAGTCCTCTTTCGATAAACAAAGACTAAACTCTACAACAACAATATCAGCCTTGAAATCCAATGCAGAGTCACTCTTGCCAATAGTTGCTACTTTGGACTGAGTAAGCTATTGAAAAGTAAAGTCCTCTTTCGATAAACAAAGAACAAACTCTACAACAACAATATCAGCCTTGAAATCCAATGCAGAGTCACTCTTGCCAATAGGTGCTACTTTGGACTGAGTAAGCTATTGAAAAGTAAAGTCCTCTTTCGATAAACAAAGACCAAACTCTACAAGTCCCTCATCGTCCCGTGCTGCTTTATGGTGGACAATGACAACATCTGATGAGTAGGCGTTGAGGTGTTCGAGAGAAAGTGTGCGATTTATGGTTCTTTGTGCTTTGTGTGCATATACCGCAGTCGATGGAACGATGAGCTGTACAAGATATACGGCGACATTGATATAGTTCAGCGATTCAAAAAACAGCTGCAACGCCTTCATTAGATTCAACTAGAGATGCCAGATGCGGGACTCGCCTGGATAGTCCAGATATCTTGCCCTTTGTCACAGCGTCCGTTTCTCAAACATTGTCCAGACAAAAGTTCAGCAATCAGATTGATAGATAAATGAAAAACTTAGAAAGGCGGCGAGCACAAAATTTGTTTGTAATTCTTGTTTTTGTTTTCTCCGACAGTCCGTTGTTTTTTTATTTTGGAATGAATTTCCGTTTTCCGGTGTCAATTTTTTACTGTTTGTACGAAAAATTAGACTTACATATTTCTAGGCGTTCGATAATATTATATTTTAAACGGCACCGTACTTTAAAGCGAACATCATGTTCTCTCTGCGACCTGGCTGCTTATTTATCTCCGAAAATTCAAACGCAACGACAACAATTTATTTTATATAATGTTTCTTTTATTATATATATTTATTTTATATAATGATATTAACTAGAAAAAATATGTCTGACCAAAGACCGCCAATGAACAAGAGACTGACCCATGTTTTCTAATAGCTGGAAAAATATTTGCGAATTTGCAGATTGGCTGAAAAAACGGACGAGTACACAGCGACTTGCAAATACTGCCAAGTTGATCTCATCGTAAAATATAAAGATTTGAAAGTTTTAGAAATATCAGGAAATCGTAGCATTCAAATGATTGCCGCTACCTCAATAAGTTTGTTGTTAAGGATAAAGAACACTTGACACTTCTTTATTATCGCAAGCTGAGTTGTTATCATTTTTCCACATGTAGTTCATGGCTTAAGTTACAAAAGTCGTCGGGTGTCGTCCAGTGCCACAATGCGCGGTCAATTATGGTGTACGCAATTCGTTTTTCAAAAACTCATAGAAGTTTACAATATTGTATTGAAAAAACTGTAACTGCCATGTAATTAAATTTTTAGTGCTGACGTTGAAATGTAGTAATAACAAGGAAGGAAGGGCTAAGTTCGGATGTAACCGAACTATACTCTCGCAAAGTTAAATGGTATATTCGTTTGAGACTTCTTTATATATTTTAATAATTAGAAGTAGGAACTGTTTAGTTATTTACTTTTCACTCACAGTGAAAATAATTAGAGCAATTTGTGAACTAAATTTACTCAATATGAGAAATCGTTCTTTGCTTTTATACGCTTATAATTTATTTTATAGAGACATTACAGAAGTATGAAAAGATCGTTTTTGACAATGAATAACATTTTTATTTATTATATCGATATTATTACATGTTTGCTTAAAACTAATAAATATTAACAACTTTAACAAGAAAAAGGTTAACTTCGGTTGGGCCGAAGCTATAATACCTTCACAAAACAAAGGCCCTTACAAGAACTTGATTCCGAACGTTCAATTTGTATGACAGCTATATGATATAGTGATCTGATCTGACCAATTTCTGTGAGAATAATTGTTGCCTTAAGCAATAACTCGTGCCTTTCGTGAAGATATCTCGTCAAATAAAAATGTTCCATGCAAGCACTTTACTCCGATCGTTCAGTTAATATGGCAGCTATATGCTATAGTCATCCGATCCATACAATTTCTTCGGAGATTAGTTGCTTTAAATAATAATACATGCCAAATTTCGTGAA